TTATGGCAACATGTCATAAAATGATTATTCGTTAGTTCTTCTCTAAAATGAAGAGCACTACATTGAATGCACTCTTGGTCCAGTAATCCTGCATCATGGATCTTTACATTTCTCTCGTCTACCATGGGTCTTATAAAAAGGGGTTGTAACATATCTTGATTAAGTTCGTCATTATCTACTCTTGCTCTCCTACGCGCACTGTCATTCCTATGAACAGTTCCCCGCCTTTGTGGTATTCCCCTGGCGTTCATATTAATTACAGTACTTATAATGAAAAGAATATATATCCAGCAGCCTACATACCAAAACATCTTTAATCCCTGGTGATTTTATAAAAGTATGATCGAATATGATTACTCTACGTTGTATATTCACTGCACTAAAAAAATTTACTTACGAAGGAATGCAAATACACCATTTTAGAACCAATAACATTTATAGGTTATTTTAGTTGTATATATTTACACAACCTTAACCTTAAAATGTGTAGAAATATAAAGAAAACAACATCATTTAAAATAAACTTGAACATATGATTTAAAAATAAAAACAAAACAGAAGTTAGATTTAATTTCGACTATTTGATTATTTATACAGAATATTTATTCTATGTCGTTTATTCCTTTAACACGACAATAACGTAAAAGCATGAAAAAATGAAACTTGAGTACCGGTATATGATTTAAATATAAACAAAGAATTTTCCGACTAATCTTCAATATTTCAGTTTTATTATAGTATACATTTCATAGTTGACTGGCTAAAAGTAAACCAAATGCGTGTATTGATCACTGTTTTCAAATCTGTGGCACAGCTGTTTTAATTTCAAAAGATGTAAACAAATTAAACCCCATGTTGTTTTAATGGGAAAAGTTTTATTCTGTTGCGAATTTATGGTAAAAAAATAAGAAAAATGAATAGTTTTCCCTCAAAATTCACGTCAAGACCTTTAAAATAAGACCCCTCCCATCCTTCTACGGCCATCCAGTCACTCACAATTTCTTTACAAAAATTTGACTTACGGAATTATATATATAGATTAATGAATCTTAACAGCTGTTTCAATTAAACATGTTGGTTCTGTTCTATGATGTTCAATAGCATTAAAGTTACAAGGATTACCAACAGGGTGCAGCACTATTATTTCTTTTACATTTATGACAACAGCTAATTTGCAACCAAAAGGTGAGTGAGCGTAGCGAACGAACTTCAACTTAGAGGCGAGTTAGCGTAGTGAACGAGCTAACCTGAAGGCAAGTGAGCGCAGCGAACGAGCTCCAACCTAAAAGTGAGTGAGCGTAGCGAACGAACTTCAACCAGGACGTGATTTAGCCATGCGAACGAGCTCACTTATGTTTATGAAGTTAAACGGGGCAAAGCCCGCAGGTACAGCTAGTATATATATATATATTTATTTATATGTGTGTCCGTTAGCACGATAACTCGAGCAAAAATCATCCGATTTTGATGAGATTTGGTACAAACGTGTAAACCTACGTCTATTCGAACGAGTTCGCGAGCAAGCATGATCGGACTATGGGAACTTTTAAGAATGTATACTTAAATACTCTTAAGAAAGCAATTACGGAGCAACAATGATGCTTCGTGCTGCGCCGCTACAACAGTAGAACGTGTAGCGCCTACATACCGAACCATGGCAACCTTTGCAGCGACTTCTGGCAGAGACTGTACCGTTGGAGCTTATGAAACTTTATTTATTTGAGCTCTGTTTATTTGATATTTAAACGTTGGAGTTTGTGAAATTTGGACATTGTGAATCGGTGATTATTTGAAAGTTATAGTTTTGGAGTTTATGAAATTTGGAGGTTATGAAACGCACTGTTTATTTAATATATTAACGTTGGAGTTTGTGAAATTTGGACATTGTGAAACGGTGCTTATTTGAAAGTTATAGTTTTGGAGTTAATGAAATTTGGAGGTTATGAAAAGCACTGTTTATTTAATATTTTAGACGTTGGAGTTTGTGAAATTTGGACATTATTAACCTCACCCTTATAGTCATATAAAGTAATCCAGGGGCCATCAACATGGAATTTTTTGAGGTGTGGTTTTCGATGGTTTTAGTTATTTTAAATCGATTGGGACTAGTTTTAAGTGTATTAAACCACTCTATACAGAGTGTTTCGAAATATTATTACTTTTTACGATATGTAAACATTTATTCATAAAGTAATAAAATTAGTTACCTCCATGCTCTATATAAAAGGGGATTATTGAAAATAACTTTAATTCTTTACTATATAAGGAAAAAGGATCACAAGGAGTAAGAGAAAAAATGAAATACCCCCATCACAGCAAACCTGCAGACCTAGTGAATTTCCGTTTTACTTACTTGATTTTCAATTAAATCTAAAATAGCATTGCGTTTAACGATTACCTAGGTTTGCTGCTACAAGGAGGCTAATGAAGTGTGTTTATTGTAAAATATTAATAGCCTAGTATAAAACAAATAAATTTGACAAGTTTGATCAAGATATATCTATTAACAAACAAACAAAATCATTTTACACTATTCTACATAAGAATAACATGGGAATTTTAAAGTTTAGTATTTACAAGTTTAGTATTTTTATCCGTAACTAATAACCATTAAAAAACATGTTAATATACTAAATTATTTGTTTTTAAGCTATTTAAAATGTTCTAGAGAAAAATTGGGAAACTTTGTGTTTTTAGGGTAAAGTAAATGAGAAAACTCAATTTTTACCCCATAAATCTCGTTCCCATTGTTCAGGACAAAAATGCTTGTACCGACAATGCTGCTCTGATGTCTTAGTGCTGTCCTGGTCGTCAAATCATCAAAGACAACCGTACTTGTATTGATTGAAAATAATTTTGATGAACTTAAGATACAAGCTGCACACGTCAGTATGTATGAAAGGTGTTTTTGCACCACATTGTTCGTGCTTTTTAATATTGGTGTTGCCTGTTCTGCAATATGCAAGGTTTGTATAGGGGAATCCCGCTTGAACACCAACTTGGACAAAATCAGTAAAGATGGACAAGTTGCTAAGAAAAAAAAATTAATGAGTCGTCTGAGAATAATTATTGTGATGATGGAATTGTAAAGAGATATACTACGAAAATTGTAAAAAAATAGCTTTAGTTTAAGTAAATTTTTAGTTTAAGTCATTTTAATATGTAATGTAAGGTTTAATACAAATACAATTGTTTTAATTTTTAATTAATGTAAAAAAAAATAACCTAAATAACTACTTAAAGAAATACATATCAATTTGAAATTGGTCTTAATAGATTTGCATAAAAAACACACTGAAAGATTATTCACTCCCCCTTAAAAGTTGAAATTTTTGCGTAGTAACCTATGTTATTATGTTATAGTGTAAAACTTAATCTATACCCTTTTACCCACCATATACAGTAACCTACCCCCCCCCCCCCACCTTAAGGGGGATAACTTATCCCCCTTTAACTTCCCATATAGGAAATAAGCTATTACCGAAGGTCTTATGGTAAAACATAGACCCAAAACCGATTTACGTTTTCATTTCGATGCCCCCAGAAGCCTAAAGCACCATCCACTCAAAATATTATATATGTGTTTATATACATATATATAATATAATATATCCATGTTATATACGTGTCCGTAAACATGATAAATCGAGTAATTTTGGTTCAATTTTAACAAAACCGGCATAATTGGTCCATGGAACAGGGTTTTATGTGGTAAAAAATGGTAATCTTTGACCCTCAAAACACAAAGTTTCCCAATTTTTCTCTAGAGCATTTTAAATAGCTTAAAGAAAACAAATAATTTAGTATATTAACGTGTTTTGTAAGTGTATTAGTTACGAATTAAATTAAAAAATTTTGAATTAAAAAATTCCATGTTATTCTTAAGGAGAATAGTGTAAAATGATTTTGTTTGTTTGTTTATAGACATCTCTTAATAAAAATTGTCAAATGTATTTGTTTTATACTAGGATATTAATATTTTACTATAAAAACACACTTTATTAGCCTCCTTATAGCAGCAAACCTAAGTATTCATTAAACTCTATGCTATTTTAGATTTAATTGAATTGAAAATTCGCTTAGTCTGCAGGTTTGCTGTGACGGGGGTATTTAATATTTTCTCTTACTCCTTGTGATCCTTCCCTCTTATATAGTAAAGAATTAAAGTTATTTTCAATAATCCCCTTTTAAATAGAGCATGGCGGTAACTAATTTTATTACTTTATGAATAAATCTTTAAATATTGTAAAAAGTAGGCTATTTATATTTCGGAACACCCTGTATGGAGTGGTTTAATACACTTAAAACTAGTCCCAATCGATTCAAAATAACTAAAACCATCGAAAACCACCCCTCACTCGACCTTAAGCGTAAAAACAAAATTATTCAGGAACAATGGCCCTTCTGAACAAAAAGGCCCCAAAAAGGGCCTTAGGACGCCCAAAATTTTGGGGACTCATCGTATCTTCATTTCTCATATTATTATAAACTTACCTGTGAAATTTCATGAATGTACAAATTTTGTTGTTTATATGGAGTGTTTAAGTATTATTTTACCTGTACTATATGGGCTAACGGCCAAATAGTAGAATAAGATATCTAGTAGCCTATAAGTTAGTGACGAAAGTGGTTCTGAAAAGCTGGTATACCACAGAAATGCTTACCAGTAGTAAAGAAATTTCTATTTATTAATTTATATTAATTTATTTATAAGTTGATTTTAATTCTTAGGCGTATGTGTTTCTCAGTTACTGCATTTGAGTTCCTTTAACAATTTGTTTTCAAAACACAAAGCAAATACGGTAATATCGCAGAGGTGTCAGAAACACGTGTAAATTGTGAACCTAATAGGACTTTGGGTAGAGGTGAAATAAGGCCGGACTTAGTTCCTTCTGGGTTGAAACATGTATGTGCAATCTTAGATAGGTAGGTAAGTAGCTTAGTAGTTCTCTAGGGGAAGTATATTTTCAATTTATACAACCTTTGAACTTTTGTTCCAGAAACCTTTCATTGAGCCACTTGTCTTTACAAACACGATCTCATGTGGATGAGACCGTCAGACAGCTTGATGAAGACGCTAGAAGAACTGGAAGAGTGACTCTCTCTGAAATTGGAGAGGCTTTAAACACAATCAAAAATTCAAGTAAGCCTATGCTTCTACTCTAAGATTTATTAGGTCTAGATGGGCCACACTGATCTGCTATTTTTAATGTGAATAGGCCTAGTTATTTTTAGTTGAATAGTTTGGTATGAATTTTTGATATATATTTCTCAATTGAACTTATAATCTGAATGCCTGCAGTACACTACCAGGACTGGTAGACTGGAAACCTTTTTATTTAATTTTTATTGGAATTAGGCTACAAAATTACATTTTATTGGTATTTATAGTAAAGTTCACAATAAAATAGTTCAAGTTGTATAAAAAATATATTGTTGGCTATTAGGTTAAGCCTCTAAGTTTTGAAAAGTTTTTTGTTTGTTTTTACATCCTTAAATTATTTATTTAATTTATAGTTATTATACAGTCAATAAAGTTTCATGGGAATTGACAGTTCAGATGAATAAGGGGTTGTTTTCATAGTTTAGCACATTCAAATGCTAGACTTAGCTTACATTACTTACTTATAATTTTTTTCACAGGGCAAGCAACAGCGTCACAATCCCTGATGGTCATAAGATGCTGCGGGAACCTGGTCCCTGAAGAAACACCAGAACAGAGAACAAAACTTGTCGAAGAAATATGGAAGACATTTGAAAAAATAGGTATGCAGTGTAATTTGATTAGGTACTTGATTCAAAATGGTTTCAACTACCAAGAAAACTCTCATGTAAATTTGAGATCTAATGTTAGGTAATTTTTGTTTTCAAACCTCTTTCAATAGGAGTCTTTCTACGGTACTAATCTGAGTTATAGGCGAAGGTAGGTGTGTGCAGTTTTTTACCTTGTTTTCATTAGGTACCATAGTTTGAATAAATCTATTCCCTCATTCTTTATTTATTTATTTATTTTGGCAGCAAACACAATTTTTACAATAAATTTTATATTGTAATACATGCGACAAGATACATTTTTTACACGCTGTTAAATATTGTGTTAATATTCAGTGATACGTATGCAAAGATGAGTTTTCAATGGAAAAAGTTAACGTGCAGTTATAATAACAATGAAGAGTGATAGTTGGATTAACTAAGTAACAATAATAAATAACATGCAAGACGATAAATAGACTATAAACTAGGTAACAATAATAATTCTGGGTTTACCTCAACAGGAGTTCCTCTAGATATCAGCCATTACAATGCCTTACTCAAAGTCTATCTGGAGAACGAGCACAAGTTTTCTCCGACTGAATTTTTGGCAAGGCTGGATGAGAATGGAATTGAACCAAACAGAGTTACCTATCAACGGCTTATCGCAGGTTTGTTTACAATATACATCAAATATAGGTAACTTAATATTCATTTCCTAAAATAAAAGGAATACCTTTATTTAAACTTTTAATAAGTATTAACCCTTCCCGGCCTATAACATGTATAACTTACAGTCTTACTTACTGCTTACTGCTATGGCCACTTGTACTGAAGCTGGTACTTGGCCTGACCGCAGGAAGTGGGCGGTACTGAAACAACTGTTTTCTTGGGAAAGATTTGAGACCAGTGATTACGTGTCTAAATACAATGCTCTCCTAATTTTAAGTCAAATACTGTATAGAGTCCACTTTAATGAGATTTTGGGGACATCAGTTTAACCGGAAAAAACCGTTATCCGGACTGGCCTCGGTCCCGAGGAGTCCGGATAAGAGGGAGTCTACTGTATGATGTTTCCATTACTGAGCAGAGAAGAGGACTCTGCCTGGTGTCAGTCTTTTGACAAGGGTTGACTTACACACAGTAAACAAGACAGTAAATAACTTAGGCCCTTCAGACATCAAAATTACTTTAACAACTTTTTGTTTACATCTGTAATTTAAATATAATTTTGTAAGTAGTTGACCTATGCTTCACTTTAGTACAAAATGTAAAAAAATCCCTTTTTTCATAAGTAGGCCTACTAGTACATTGGTTAAAGATCTAAATTAATTGAACAAAAGAACAATTTTACGAAGATTAATGATGTTATAGACAATCAAATCAGCGGATATATCCGCCTACCGTCTGCTATGCACAAAATGCTAGCGGATATATCCGCCTATAGTCCTGGAAGGGTTAAGAGCATTCTTTGACTAATTTTAATGTGTTGAAAACATTTGTTATTAGCATAATGAATTCTATTCAATATTGCGAGACATTTGTGCCTTTATAAATAGTCATCAGCTAACAGCATGTGAGAGTAAGAAGTACAGTGAAATGTTGATATAATAGGCCTATTAAACACTCGGTCCTTATGATACTAATTGTCCTTGTTAGTGAAGCTTACTTATGTTTACTTCTAAATAAAAAAAATAACATTAAAATTAGGGGTGTGCGAATAGTGATTTTGAACCTCGAGCCGAGCCGAGCCGAGCTTTTTAAAAAATGTTCGAGCTCGAGCTTTTTCGAGCCGAGCTTTTCCTAGCGTAACCTTATCTTAATTATTAAACTTTTTTTCTTAAAAAAGTGCATAATAATAATAATGTTCAGTCAATTTTTAAACAAACACAATGTTATTTTAATATGTTTAAAAACATTGAGAATTGTCAAGACATAAAATAGTAGATAATCACGATAAGAACTGAACTGAACTAAATGAAGATGCAAGAAATAAAAGGATATCGATTAAAGGCCTGAAGAGATATGCAGTGCAGACTGAGACAAAGACAATCAGATTGTCTTTCAAAACAGAACAGCAACGCGACCTTGAATGACGACAAAACAACTAGCAAGTCGATTACATATGTATATTGTAACTAGGCTACTATGAATATTTAATTCTATTTTGTATAAATAAATACAAAATAAATTTAAAAACACGTGATTATTCTTGTTGTTTTCCATGCACAAAATATTTTTGTTTTATGAATCCTATTAATCAAAAAAGAACATGGTTGGTTTGGATCCAAAAAGGTGGAGAGACAAGTTTTACTTATATATTAAAAAATATATAATTGACATATAGAGGAAATAGACCAAAGCACTAGAATTAATAACCAAAGCACTAGAATTAATAGAATAACACACAAAGTAAACAAGAAATGAAATGCAGAACACGATGATTTAACACTGTCACTCAATTTTGTTATCTAGAAGGGTCGGCGAACTAATCAATAAATAGCCAAAACCAGTTTCCTCCCCTTCACACAGTCTCACCGCCCCCCTCCCCCCCAATCCGGGTGGCCCAACACTTTGTCCTTGAAACACCCTTGCGTCTGAAACAATAAACCCTTACACCCTCGTTGCTGTTTTGACAACAGGTTTATGAATGCGATCACTATTTTTCATTTCCAGAATTAACTATCAATTATTATTTATTTGCAAGATACAAATAGGAAACTACATCACATTATGGTATTCAATGACCCATGTACTATCAAAAATTAATAACTCATTACTTATTTTGATAATAAAAAGCATTCATTACAGCACGCGCCACTTATTGATATATATATATATATAATCCTCAAAGTAACTGTTACTTTATAAAAAATAAAATAGGTACAAAATTGTGTGGCCAGTCAAACTTTATAGGCCTAAACAAACATTTTATTCTATAAAATACAGATGGTAAATAGGGGTTGGTTTAAAGGAAATAAAATACAAAACATATTAATTAATTATTTTGATAAACATTAGAAAGGTTATGGGATTGATTGAACTAAAATAACCGCAGGGAAACTTATAAGTAGAAAAGTCGTCAAACACAATCTGTTTAATCAGTACATTGTTAGAGAGAGAGAGAAAAAGAGAGATAGCAGATAAGGAAGTTTGATGATAAGGAGTTTGATAAGGAATCTGAAAAAGTAAACAAACAAGGAACAACGACACGACGATTACAGCCTTATTGTCTCGCCCACTACATTTGCACACGTGACCACTTTTTGTTTCTTCCTTATCTTTCATCCGTCCCAAAATAGAATTCCTGAAATAGTTTGTTGGTATAATCTCCCCTCCCACACAAGGCGCAGTGCTCAGTGCGCACTGTAGGTTGCCACGGCAACCGTGTGTCGTCATAGCGACTTAGCCAATCACGCACTCGCACTGCGTTGCATATTACGATACGAATAGTTGTGTTAGAAAGACAACGCAATAGGTGGTAGTTTCCTCAAAATTAGGATCGATAATCATTGCGTCTTGACTGAGCTGAGGTTCGTGCTTATCAAGACACAATTATGAAACGGAGGAGAGTAAATTTAAATGAAAGTTAGTTCCTTATTTATTAATTTAATTTTTATTTGCTACAGTAGTTCAATAAGTATTCGGCTCGAACATTTCGAACTTTTTGAAAATCACGAGCCGAGCCGAATAGCGTCCTATTCGGCTCGAAAAAGCTCGATGTTCGAATACTCGCACACCCCTAATTAAAATCAGTAAGCATACAAATTCATAATGTTTACATCAGCTAGTTTAAAACAGCTTGTAGAAACACTGTAGCTGTACTTGTCTTCCATGAAAATGAACTGGATCTTTGACGGCCTGTGGAGCAGAGCAGGGGTTTTTTTTGACACTCTTTTTTTTTCCACCGTTCTTGGACGTTAAGCTTTAAATAAATCCTCAACAGCCATGCTATCTTTTTTCTAGCTCTTGATATTACATGGGGACCGATTGGCTTACAAAATTAAATATATATATTTAACTTAGCTTAGTTTCACTTAAGTAATATGTTTTTTTTATTGTAGGCTAACTCAACATAAATGCATGCCTTAAACTATAGTTAAACTATAGTAGGCCGACTATAGTTAGGCATTTTGATTCCATTGTTTCCATTGTAAACAATGGAAACGAAATGCCTAACTATATTCGGCCTACTGTAGTAAAAATTTGGTAGTAGCTTTAAATTTTCAAATTATTATAAACCCATCTCGATCACCTAAAATGCACAAAATTATTTAATCAAACAATTACTACAGCTTAGGGCCAAAGTGATTTTTTTACAGTTTTACGCTGATTGATAAGTTTATGTCACATTAGGAATGGGCTATTAACTAATAAGTATCATTTCTATTCAAGGGTTTTGCCAGCAAGGGGATATTGCAGGAGCAACGAAGATTTTGGAATTTATGAAAGATAAACAGCTACCAGTCAGCGAAGGAGTTTTCAATGCCCTGATTCTAGGCCATTCTAAAGCTGAGTAAGTAGCATTTAACCTCGCCTGTTTAATTCCACAGCCATCTGAAAAAATAAGTTGTGATCTAACATTTTTTCCATAACTTTCTAAATTATTTTAATGTAAGTTCCTGGTCACAACAGTTACGCCTAGGCCTGAAACCAACTTGTTCATTATGGTTTATGAGTTGAAGAATAGGTCTTGTGCACCTATTCTTAATCAGAATAGGTTTTACAAGAATAGGTTGTCTGCACTGTCTAGTGCACATTGTCTCAACACTTTCCATGCAACACTATGGGTGTTGTTCTTCTGTGTACAACAAAAGAACAACATAAGTAACTATAGTTCGGCAGCTTAGAAAGCGACCTCCTTCAGCATTGGTTTAGCATTAGCGCGTAGGTAGTTTTCTAAGCGGCCGAACTATAACATGTGTGTGAGTATTTTGTGCATCCCCACTTGAAAAAACTGGCCATGCTGCAGCGCAAGACTACGTTACAGTGGTGGATGGATAGTTATACTAAAATCTAACTGTTAAAATTTGAAAAACAGCCAGCTTATTTACCTAAAACATATGAGATATGGCAGTGAATCTATCCACAAGTGTAACGTCATCGAGAGGTCATCGATCCTGCAACATGGCCTGTTAGCGAATTTCCCATATAGGGAATAAGCTATTTTTCTAGTGGAGCATTGGCATAATACACTACAGAGAATAGCAGTCAAGTCATGCTATACAGTGCATATACTTGACCACTACTAACTGTACTGTAGTATTTTCCAACTTAAATTATTGGGCTTTTGGGTTAAGTTTTTTCACCTGAGGACTGGATCAGATTCCAGATCCCGAAACGTGTATTGTTTTTCACCACTGTGATGGAAAATGTCTGCATAAACCTTTGAACTACAGTACATACTCCTACCATCCTGCAAAAAATTATTACAGTTTACGTTTTGCAAAGCCATATTTTTTATGGCAATCCTACTGTTTTAGTGACATGGAGAGCGCTGAAGGTATTTTGAACGTGATGAAACAAGCCAACCTAGAGCCAAGTAATGAGACTTACGCAACTCTAATGGCTGGCTACGCGGCGCGAGGAGACATAGAGGCTATCCAGCGACTCTTGACTGACTGCAAAGTGAAAGACATTCTGTTGAGTGACAGAGAATTGCTGGACATTTCTTACGCTGCAGCAATAAACAACCATGATGGAATAGTTGATGAGGTTAGTTAACAAACTAGCGGGAAAGTGTCTGGAGTCAAATGTTGAATCCATCTGATCTGAAGAAAGGATTTGAATGCGAAACTTTATTGGATTTGACAATGTAGTGGTTTTCAGTTGGACAAGGTTGAAACAATTTAAGGATGATCACAATGTCATGTTTCAAAATTTTTTTATGTAGGCTAACTACTAAAAAATAAACTAGAGGTTTTAGAATTTATAAAAAAATAATAAAGATTGATTTTTGCTGTAGATTTCAAATTTATTAAATATTTTAGTTGGTATGCCACCAACTGTGCCTCTGACTCACCTTAATCCAGAATATAGGTCCGTCTAATATAAACCAGAAAAGGTTGCTTTTTAACCTGAGAATGTAAAAATATAAAAGTTGCCCTAATATAATCCTGATTTTGTCAAACACTACTTGAGAAATGTGCACAACGGTTATTTTTCTTTTTTAATCATTGTTTACTGTTGTATCAGCTATTGAAGAACATCAGACGCAGTCTAGGCTACAACCAGGATGCAGCCAATGTCATCATCAGACTAGTCACTGCGGGCAAGGATGAGTCTGCTTACAAAGTGTTCCTTAGCTTGAACCCCGTCACACGTCTACGAGATGACTCAGTCCCTAACATGAGTGGCCATATATTCATCAAACATCTAGTCAAGTGCAACAGGGTATGTTTCTGGTATTTTACAATTATATCCTGGCGTGGTTTTTTAGTTTTAAACATGGCTATAATGTACACAATCTTTTTTGTGCGATATTACTTAAATATTCAGTGTATGAGAATCCTTCTAACCAAATTCAAATAATCCGTATTATGGTCAGCGAAGTTTTAGCCTAGACAAAAAACTATTACAGTTTGAATTTTAAAATAATGAAACCCCCCCACCCCCCTAAAAAAACTTTTAAAAACATGTAGAAGCTAATCAGACACACTTTTTGGATGACTCACTGTAACAAGTGATATAATTTCAATTTGCTGATTGTAGAATCCCCAGTCTTTTACTCTGAGCAATGTTCTGATGTTGCCGTTGTTGTGTGCTGTTTTTGCATTTTTGGTTTTTCAACCTTAGGTAACCTAATTGTTTCTCATGAATGTGTCTCATATATGTTTCCTTTAAACTAAACATGTGACATAACATTTAGCTACCCCCACACTGCACTATACTTTAATGTAATGTGTATTGAAGGTCAATTACACTCATTTTCAAGTCTGAATCTAAGGCAATGGCTCGGCTTAGTCGGATAACTTTATTCAGCTTGAACGGACCAACGGAATGTTATTAACACTTTGGGCCAACTCTGGGCCTTAGGCCTACTTGTCCCGAAAATATCGGGGACCCGCAGATCCCTACTTATTATCCACTGAATCATCATAATAGTATTCTTTGTTTGAAGTTTATTGTAGTGAGTTAATGTTGTTCAAAGGGTTATTGCAGAAATTTTTCTATCAGGATTGTAAAAAACGGGTACGCGTCTAATTGGCACCGCGTCAGATTGGCACCGCGACAGATTGGCACCGCTCCTAGAGGTGCCAATCAGTCGTAACAGTACACGACAGATTGGAACCTGGAGAAAGGGGTGGTGCCAATCTGTCGTGGTGCCAAGCTGACGGCTGCCGCAGAGGTGCCAATCAGTCGTAACAGTACACGACAGATTGGAACCTCGAGAAATGAGTGGTGCCAATCTGTCGTGGTGACAAGCTGACCGTGGCCGCAGAGGTGCCAATCAGTCGTAACAGTATACGACAGATTGGCACCGCTGCCCTCAATAGGCCCACCTTTTCGTTTTACTTACTAGTCTGATGTTTGAAAACAGAAACGTGTCAATACTTCATGCAAGTCAATTAATGCATAGGCCTACACATTGATAATAACATTAACTTTAACAGCACAAACCGCTTCGTAAATGGTCCATCTAATCAAAGTCACAGTTCCTCAAGGCTTTTAATATTATGCCATTAAACTCAAGTTTATAATTTGGAACGTCTGATACCTACTAAAGTATTTGGCATAATTGAATGAAGCCTTGCAGTCATGTTTCGGAAGGGGGGTGTGCGTTAACCTGGTTAAAAAAGGTTTTTTTCATTCAGAAGTTACAGCTTGTCAAAGATATGACAATTAATCATTCAGTTAACTAATATTATTTCAATGAAATGATATTTTTTATGCATTATGGAGTGATAAATTATTATATATTTGAGATGCTGTAATTTATTACTTAATTTACCTTTTTGTAAACAAGATGCGGTTGTACGCAAGTAGGCTTGCCCTATAAAATAATTACCGTTACTTCCTTCGTGGACGAAAACTCAAAAATCAGGTAATGTGTAACTTGAGGTATGGTTACACTGAATTTGCAAATATTCTGAAATGGGGTTATTTCGGCGTGAAATTTACGTGGATTAAAATATATATAAAGCTATGGAAATTGAAAGTGGTCGCTATGATGGATTTTCTGCCTCATATCAGGACTTTGAGAGAAAATACTTTTAAACACTTTCTTAGTATGCATCTAGATATAGGCTACATGCCATGATGTCGTGTTAGTTAAGCAGTTTGTAACTCGAGACCGGCTGGATCTTTTTAATGATTTATGATTTGTTGGATTTGTCTTTAACCCGATTAACACATGTATCTTCAGTTCAGTATTTAAATTTAGGGCTAAGCACCACATATGTATGTTATGCGTATGAAGAAAAATATTATGGATTTTGACCATATGCATACATTAATTTAAATATTTTCGAAACAGCTGATTAAAAATTTGACAGGTAATGTAATTGAAAGTCATTTTCAGCTGTTTTATGTTGTCTGTGATTGTTTTGAAAAGGCTTATAAAGGTGGCCGGTTGATTTGGTTGTTTTTTACTTTTATGGAGTACAAAAATCGCCGGATCATCTAGTTTGTAATGTACAGTTAGCTCAATGTTTCTGTACACATACGAAACAATAAAATACGTTTTATATTCATTGTTTTTCGTGTTAACATTAACAATTCGCATGTGTTTTCCTAGTAGGCCTACGCTTTATTTAAGGAATCTTGTTCAACAGTAATAACAAAAACTAGTCGAAATCAAAATACTACTGAGCAAGGCTTGGTCCTAACAGTAGGCGTACTTTACAAATATTAGGATTGAGAAACAGATGGTGTGGTGTAGTTATCTGAACTGTCATTAATAACAAACGACCCCTAAATGCCTCAAGGGTCACAATTTTTATTTATGGCCTTGTCCTATTTAAAAAAAGGATCATCTTATAAAAGGTGCTTGAAAAAATATTCGAAACCCTCCCAGCGTGGAGTTTTCCGGCTTCCTCAAATTCTCTGTACGTCCGCTCGTTTTTCAATGTCAACGTTGCTGTTAAAGACCAAATTGACAGTTGAAATGCCACATAACTTGCAGACTCAAATATAGAAATACCCGTTATTTGAATAGCGTGAGGATGCCAGCAGTTCCTGGTGGTCGCCCGTAACAAAGACACTGTTGTTTGTCACAAGGGATTAGGATTGCCCGTCTACCTGTTATGGGGGGAGGACGCCCCGACTTTAAAGCCAGGTTATTGAACGGTGAGGGAAATAACAGCTAAGGTAAACCAGGCCAGATTTAAATTAAATGTGCCGCACACATTATATCAGTAGTGAATTGATATACGGGACTCGTATTAAGTGTACTTTACTGTCAATAAAGGGGTTTCAATGATTTTAATTAACTTTAATATTGAAATCATTTTTTTTTAAGTAACACACTGAGTTAATATGAGTAAATATGGTATGGTACATGTTATAATGACTTTTCTAACATTAAATTTGAACATGAGGTTAGGTTTCCCCAATACAGCATATGCAGACTCACGATAATCTGAGCCCCAATTGATCAAGCCTCCGTAGATAACCGAGCTCATCGTAAAAGTATAATAACAATTAAGCTATTAAAACCGCGGAAATTAACGTGAAAAGTGAAGTTTCTTTCTTTTAGTGCAATAGTAAGTAGCAGCCAGGTAGCAGCATTATTCTTACTAACAGTTGTTCACTCAAGCTGTTGATTACCACAAATAGTACGTTTGTCTTAAAATTAAAATTAAAATTACGCGAAAATTAAAGTAGTAATTGTTACATATTTTACTGTGGGCCCTGACTGTGATATTTTGTATATTCCACGAAGCACGAAATGAAAGAATCCTTATACACTAATGCCACATCTGATTCAAAGTACAATGCTTTATCAGTTAAAAAATCATTCTATAAACATGCTTTCTGGTAGCAAAAGCGTAATGAAAAAATCACTCTAAAAGGGCCATTACACATTCGGCGAGTTTCTTGCAGATGTTTGGCGGTTTTCGCACTCAAGAAGTAGTTGTGATTTCTTCCATACGAAAAGGGATTTGTTTGAATTTTTACGAGCAGGAAATATTTCTATAGTTAATCAGGAAAATAATTTATAAATAACAAACTTTTTTAAAACATAACGTTTTTAAACGCACTAAAAAGAAGAAAATAATTTATAAATATGTGGAGAGTATAAATACTTGTAAGATTTAAAACGAAAAACGTGGGGTGCATGCAAGAGATAATTTACAATTTCCTTCACCTATTGAACTAATGTATTATTATCAATTGCATGCACCCCACGTTTTTCGTTTTAAATCTTACAAGTACTTATTCTCTCCACATATTTATAAATTATTTTCTTCTTTTTAGTGCGTTTAAAAACGTTTTGTTTTAAAAAGGTTTTTTATTTATAAATTATTTTCTACTTTTTAGTGTTTAATGTGTGTGGATGTTAAATCTATTTCAAGCATCTATATCAGATTGAGACAAGAGGCATGTGGGAAATCTAAGGTTTATTTAAGTTTCTTTTCATATAACTAGGGTTGCTTTCAGAGAGGTGAAAGCCAGTTGAGCGGAACAAACGTGATTTGATATTTGTATAAGTAACTAAATGTAAAAAAGTCAATAGATGTACTAATGCTGGTTTTATTGATTAAAATTATAATAATTCAGATTTGTTTTTACTACATCTTGTTATTCAGATACCTCTTCCAAAAGTGCAATATGGTAGTTTAGACCAGGAAAATATTACAGTAGTTGGAATCTGGTATTAACATCCAAAAAGGGCATTAAAGTATAAAAAAGAGAAAGGAAATTTAACATTCAAATTCAACTGTAGCCTACAACAAAAACATTGGACTTCATTTTTCACCCTTACAATCGGTTAAAGTAGGCTATATTAGAGTATAAAAAAAAAAAAAAAAAAAAAAAAAACAGTAACTATTAAAAAAACGAGTATTAAAGTATTACAACAGGAGGGGACATTTGACATTTAAATTCAACTGTGCAACATAAACATTGGTCTTCATTTCAACCCTTGCAATCGGTTAAACTCAGCTTTATTTGCTAGAAATAATTTATGATTGTTAATACCAAGTATTCTTGATGGAGGATATGATTGTAATGTAACTGGAATGTAGGTCTTCTACCATTATTAGGACGATTTAGAGACGGCATTTTAATACTGTCCTTAATAATACCATTGGCCATTGGATACAGAAGATTTTGATTAAAAAGCTGGTTACAAATTTAACATGGGGATGGAATGTCTAGTTGTATTGATAGTCAAAGATAAAACATAGGCCTGCGAAAAATGTTGGGCTATTAAAACACCTAGAATAAAT